GCAGCAGCGGCAATCTAAAAGGAGAAAACTCAAAATCACTCTCCATGCAGCGTCACATTCAAACTTGGACACTAACCACAGCTACGTCCATCATATAGGCCGAAAGCAAAACGCTATCATATGAACCCAAACTATGGTATATACCCAATAAAACCCTATCCAACAGATAAGAGCATTTTTAGATGACTGAGGAAAGCTATAGTAACAAAAGAAGCAGATTGCACTCTTTGATTGCAACTCTAGAACAATTCGAATTTCTTTTTCAGCATGTCTTGCTTCCATCTTGGCAACTTATAAAATGCGTCTTTTTCCATTCCAAATATAGTGTTGAAGTCCTCCTCCGATAGATAGGCCTGACCAGTAAAAATTAACAAAGAAAAATGTTATATCAATCTACGAATAAAATTAACAGAATAATATATCTTCGCCAAAGTGGAATGCAATTAAAGATACCCTTTCGGGAGTTTTGATATTTTATAACAATACAAATTTCAGGTAGAGAGCTTATAATTCAAAAAATTTTAATCTAATATAAAAAACCAATACAAAGCGACTAACCTCCCTCCGTTTAAGATCAATTCCAGCCACATCAATACCAGATCTAGTCTTTAATTGTTCATAAGTAAACGTCCTTTGACTACCATTCGACTCCTCCTCGGTTTCTTGTTTTGGTTCCATATCCTCATTGCTAGCAGTTTCAGGGGCAAGTTCCTCTGTTGTTTCCTTGGCCTCTGCAACTTCTTCAACTTCAGAGGATTCACTTTTAGCTTCTGCAGCAAGAACTTGAACAAATATTGTGCAAAAGATAGTCAATTTGTTTTTTCATCCAAAGCAGGCATTTAATTGTCTGGTTCCAAATACGGGAAAGAAAAAACTTAAAAAATTATTAAATTGGCATGTGCTGTTTCTACTCATAAGTCTGAAAAAAGTTTAAGGTATTTCAAGAATGTAGTACAATGGGTATGTATGACGAACTTTCCAATACACACTTTTAGTAGAAGAAAATTAGATCATGCATAACTCAATTTTAAGTTACAGAGAAATTCAGTTCATTTTTACTTATTATTTCCCCCCCTAAAAGTGCTTGTAGAAAAGTTCATCCAAACATGTCTGTACAACAACGTTTCCACTACTTGTAGTTTACTTGCACGTGATAAAGACAATTGCAGAATATACTAGTATGATTAAATAATTAAACAAGAACATTATTAGAATTGAACAAAAGGATTTGCATTAATTATTCAAAAGAAAAAAAACACAAAAAATCATAGTAGGGTGTTGTGAAATGTTCAACTTGGCAAACCCATTGAATTCAACATCACAATTAGATAAAAAAAAAAAGCTACTTTTCTTACCAGTGGGGCTATTTTCATTGAGAGGACTACTACTAGCCACAGGAGAACCATCGGGTGATACTTTCTTCTTTTCAGCAGTCAGAACTTGTGAAAGAGCAGCCACTGCTGCTGCTCTTTGTGATCCTTGACCTTTTCCAGATGCCTTAGGAGGAGTTACAGGTTTTGTCCCAGATGATGAATTAAATGCAGAGTTCAAAGCAGCTAAAGCTTCTGCCCTTTGTCTTGGTCCTCCTTGGCTTAACCCATTTAATCTATCTTGTGTCTGAAAGAACACACAAGATTAATTAGTTAGCTGATGATAACTGCCCAGAAACCAATTACAATACAACAGAAACCGCAAAGAGCACAGGTGATCCCCACTCGGGGTGATTTTTATTGAAGTAAACCCACTAATTAATTTATTCTCACTTATCCATTCAGAGCAAAAGGATTTCTAAAACTTCATCTGTTTAACTTCCATTAACAAAATAAAGAGAACGCTATTTAATATTCTCTACTTGTTATACTGAATTATCATATAATCTACTTTTGGTTTAAAGATCATTGACTATAAACTCGATCAACTATAGAAGTAACCATACCATACTGGATGATTTCTCAGATGATGAACTAAATGCATTGTTCAAAGCAGCCAATGCTTCAGCTCTTTGTCTTGGTCCCCCCAGACTTGACCCATTTGACTTATCCTATCACCAGAATCAGCAAAGTCTCATTAGACAGTAGAGGAACATACATCATATTAATTAATGCCAACATCAAAATCAGGCATGATATTTATTGCACTGGAAAAATTGCATCTGCACAACCCTATACAACCCCTTGGAAACAGAAATATTTATTTATACAAAAGAAGCCCGGGCCGGGTTACATATCAGTAGTTGGATCTTTGCAAGTAAAAACATTGCTTATTACTCAAGTTCGTTTTAAGTTGGTTTCGGTAAATATGACACAATAGTCTCTAAATTGGATTAATTTGCATGGTTCAAATTATACCACACAAAAATGAGAAGTTGAGCCATACCTCGACAGCATGGCCAATCCCAAAGAGTAACGCCACCTTTTTCTGAAATGAGTTCCCCTGAACCTGCACGGTAAATTTATTTGGTTAGTCTCTCAACCATCACACACATAGACAACAGTAACTAAACTTCTTCATACATGGGAGCTGCACTATGTTATATTCAGAACTTTGAGAACCCTATCAACAATAATAATAATTTCACGGAATATCACTAACTTCCTAGTCAACCAATAAAACTGTCCTCTTCTCAACCAACAAAGACATACAAAATGAAGCTAAATTAAACCAGTGAAAATGATTAATTTTTCAAAGAAAATACATGACACCTCAAACTGGAAAAGTGTTAATTTTATGTATAAGTACATACCACAGCTTTTGCATGATCCCAAGAAAAGTATGTTGTGAAAAAGCAAGGTTCATTCCCCTCTGTTACTTTATATACTGGTACGTGTGGAGATAGTCCCTCCAGAGATGCAGCCATATCTAAGTATTTCTGAAGGAAATGTTCGAGTATGCATCAACAATTTCAAGCAGAAGAAAATATACAAAATAAAAGCCATATGCTTTTCGGCATGTTACCTGGCCAATTTCAAAAGCATTTTGCTTTTCTTTTGGGTCCACAGAATGACCGACCCAAATAAACACTTCTGCGTGTGTGTCAAGTACAAGGATATCCTCTGTTAGCAGGTCATCTTGAGAGAAGTTGTAAACCTCCTCTACCTGCAGGGTAAAATATAATAAAACTAATTAGAATACTTTCAGACTCTCCTGTGTCTTACTGTATACAAATTTCATATAAATATGGAAAAAATTAATGAAGTTGCAGGAACAAAGCTCACCTTGAACTTTCCTGTGGACCCACATTGGAAAAAGAGAAATAGTCAGTGTATCAGTCAATAATATGCAACTGCATAATAATATTATGTAATAAGTAACATGACAAAAAAACGTTACCTTTATAAAATGATATGGTGAACAAATGTGGATCTCTGACAACTTCGTTAACAACTTTCTTGCTTGTGTAAGCTTGTTTTCCTCCTAGTGCAGACCAGAAAGCTGAGCTTTCTGTTCCTTCTTTAGCATGCTTTAGAGTAACTCCAGGCTGAATACAGACAGTTTTGTCGTAAGAAAATAATGTATATAGCAAACCTACTATTTACTCTATCGTCGTGTTAAGCAAACAACTTTGTATGGATGAAGGCAAGAAATAATAGAAAAGCGTGTCGGCTTAGCCTGCCTATATTCAAATTCAAAATAGGTACCAAAGGAGCCAACAGGCCATTCTGACTTCCGGACTAAACTTTTTTTCTCCCGCATACATTTATATGATTTTCTTAGTCTTTCTAATATATTTACTTTTTTTTTCATTTTAATTTCTACAAATATGCCACTTTTAACTTTCGTCCCTTACAAATATATCATTTATTGTCTTTAATCCTTAAATATGTTATTTTTTTGGTATGGTCCTTGATGACATCATACACTGATGTGGCACTTTTGGTGATATCATCGTTACTGACGCGGCAAATTTGCTTATATGGGATGTTATGACATCATCAATGTTAATATTTGCTGACGCTGAAGTAAAATAAAAGAAAAAACAAAAACAAAAAGACCACAATTTATAAAGGACGGGAAAGATATAATTAGGGCTAGACTTACACCCAACGTCATTTTTATCCTTTAAAAGATTTTATTGTACAGCTACTTTAAAAAAGAAAAAGAAAACAAGCACGTATCCAGCCTCAATTCTATGCCACGCAGCCATAATTTTGATATATCAATCAAAATAGTGATCTGAACTTCAAAATGAAGCTCTCTCAACTCATGATTCATCCCTAGGGGCATATTGTGTGTGTCCACACCACTCTATATAAAGGAATGAGCATGGGGACTGAGTCTTCCGGTTCCAACATGTTCAACTAAAGGTAATGAGGAAAGACGGATCTTTAGCAATTACCATAGAGTCAAACGAGTTTAAATTGTACAAAATTGAGAATTGTTTAAGCTGTAAAATTTTGTGGAAGTGCTTCAATAATTTAAATTAAGACCAAAAACCTAGATCCCAAGAACTTACCCTTAAAAATTCAGCAACCTTTGCTGCTAGCTGTTGCTGCTCAAAAGAACACTGATTCCCATGCCAGATAAAAACTGTAGAGCCAGACTGCAGGACAAAACTCTCAGCAGAATTCAACGATGCTGGCACCTGTATAAGAATGATATAATTATGAAGGACTAGGAAAAAATACATGTCCTAAAAATATACATGATGGAGAGGAAAAAAATAAATATTCTCATGGGTACATACCGCATCAACTTGTAAAGATTTATTGTTATGAACAGAAGTTCCACAGATTCGAATAAGTGCAATACACTCTGCTGTGTATGTCTCATCTGATGCACCGTTGTCTGCAAATAATTTCTTGTACCCGGAGCTCAATCCTCCCTAAAATACGTGTATGTCATAAAATAATTAGGTTTTTTTTCTAAGATATACTATATACTACTTAAAGCAACATATAGTTCTGGTCATGATACCTTAAGTACCACCATTGGTTGGAAAATAGCAACAAATTGTGGTGGCTCTTTGCCTTCAAATATGCGACCCTGAAAGAAACTAATGTGAATTATACACGTTTTCCAAGCAATATCCTCAAATTGACACTAGTATTTACGATACCTGTACAGGTCTACCCTTTAATGAGGTACACATTGTATTGGCCAACCGAGTAGCAGTTGTTTGGTCCTCCTGAATAGTAAATTTAACCAAAGGTCAAAGCATTCAAATTGAATTAAGTAGGGATAAATAATTATGAAACAAATATTAGGAACTGAAAAGCAATAAATATTTTAATTGTAGATAATGATTTATGACAAGTTATATCTTGAAGACGAAATAAGTCTGAAGTAGTTGACTAATAAGTGATTACTCATTAACCACTTTTGGAACAATGTTAATCAGTAAAGTGCTCAGTTACCCAGTGTTCCAGCACTATTCCTTTACTAAACAAGGAGAGTTAAATATTAGATACCATACTTTTAATGGGTAGCAAAAACAACATTTCTGTTAGGACATGGAGGGTTTATGAAAGAAGATAGTAGAGAAATAAAGATGAGTACTTAACTGTTGAGCAGTTAAGGGGGCAGGAAAAGGTCTATAAAAAGGACCTCTTTCGTAGTTACGGGGGGGACAGTTTTTACCTTTGAGTTTGTAGACCGGTTCAAACCTGGTGAAGGAGGTTAAGCTCCTGGTTTTCCTAGTTGTATTCTTGATTCTTTGATGTGAATACAGTTCAGTTCATTACCATTTCTTGTTGTGAGTTTTACTGGAATGTGCGAGTGAGGTAGAAAGTTAGGATTCTTACCCAGATTCCTAACAAATTTCCATAAAAGATCCTACTACTAATTATAGCAACTTTCATAAGTTTCTACTTTTTTGCTTTGATTTAATTCCTGGGAGAAAAGTAGTTTAACCCAATAAACATTCACCAGTCCCCCTATTTTCATTGCAATTTTATTTCCAAGAGTCAAGATACCACACACACACACACACACACACACACACAAAAAAAAAAATATATATATATGTATGTATCTATGCATGTATGTATGTAAAGGTGTGTGTGAGCCTGGCATGCACTACTGCACACGCATGTATGTATATGTAAAGATATATAGATGGATATAATTTATCCAGGTATAGATTGTTTGATATGAAATGACATTACAGATATAGATCATGATAACTAACAGTATAGTTTGATCACATGTATCCAAAGATATCTTGCTAAGACACCAATAAATAAAGCTAAGGCTTTGATATTCACAACGTCAATCACAGCCAAAAATTTTCAACCAAGTTAAATTACAAAAACATATTTGCCTATACATACAAATTCTAGTTCAGTCCTAATAGTGTTTGGCACTGAAATAGTATCAAATTGAAAATTACAATCCTCACAATCATAATGAATCCAGACCTCAAACTGAAGGACATAAATTACCTCGATGCTGTCTTTACCAAACCAACAGCACAAGAAGAAGTCTTCTTTCCTCTCACCGGTATGGTATGTGTACAGTACAATATAACAATCTCCACTATAGAATTTACCAATCTCCTCCTTTGGCAATGCGGTCTTGGCATCTCCACTAATTCGCCATACCTAAAAATTGAAAAAATATTACATGTTCAGAGGTGTAATTAATAAAGCCAAGGAAAGTTTATAAAGGAAATTATAACCTCACCTCTATCTTCCCACCTCCTTCAAGCAAAGGTGGAATTTCCTCATTTACTGGGGTACTTTTGGCCATTCCTTTGACACCCATACCTTGTTGCTTAAGCAGTGCTAACAGTGCATCAAATAGCACACTTGTCAGTGTGGCTATCTACACAATGGCAATTAAAAATACATGAGGGAAGAAATGACATTCACCTGCAACTTTCCCTCTTCCTTCCTCTGCATTGGTATTAGCAGACCCAGATGGCCAAGAATCAAAGTTGGACTTAAATGAATGCGTCTCGTAACCTTGAATAATCCTGGTTATCCTTGTAGATTTTGGCCTATTTTGGCTTGCAACAAACTCCTGCAGATATTCATAAATTAATGATCCTCTTTTAACTAACAAAGGGATGGATTATGAAAGAAATAGATTCTAGAATGGCATTACCTCAGCAGCTTGGCAGCATGCTTTTCGTTCTTCTACTTGAGTTACCCGACCAACCCAGACAAATATCTCAGCACCACAGTCCAATAGATAGCATTTGTTGTTTTCCAACAATGAATTAGACAGTTCACCTTCCACGGGGGTAACCTCACCATTAGCAATACTGGAAGGAGAGTGCATATGGAGTTATTCCTCATTTTAGTTATCACAATGAACCATTGTCCACGATCATAATGCTAATCAATGCATGATAATGTCAACTTTTCTTCCAGATCAAAAAACTAAAACTAATGCACACATATAGAGCAAATGAAGCATAAACTTCATACGAATTTATATTGAAAAAATTACTATCTCATACTGCTCAATACTCAACCAAATATCTCAATCTACTCAATGTAGCAATCGGGCTCTCTGTAATACTAAATCCAATCATTACACCATTCCTAAAAGCCAACCTATCAATGGATAACTCTACAGTACTTCATTATGTAACACTTCATTCAACTTCCTTGTGCGTGAGAACCCTTCAAAATTTCCCTTTGAAACCCTAACAACCAGCTCTAATATTGATTAATGAGCACAGTAAAGGACTTACATACTCTAATACTACTTAAAATGCGATCTAGACCCCATAATACCCAAGTCACTTTCATTAAATATTTTAACTAATATGATGATAATATTGAGGTGAGCACTAACACTTAAATACTCTACTTAGTCTCTCATACTACTTAATGTGAGATTTATACCCCCAACAATATCCATGTCCCCATCATTACAAATTTTAATGAGTTGATGATAGTGTTATTTAACTGGGAAAAAATTGTTGACCGCATTAAAATTTGATAAGCAGCAGCAACGAAAAGGCATATTCATTCATTAGGTAGAATTAGAAGAATTAAAAAACACCATCGATTTCAAACAAAATCTCATTTGACACAAAAATACACAGAAATTGGGCGTAAAACCCATGCATTGACCAAAAAATGGAATTGGGCTCAATGTCAATAAATATATCTACAAGAAGATCCTTTTGACATCATCTCTAAAACTTTTATCTGATTTTCTAATCCCCTTCTTAATAGGAGTGTCTTCCCCCATATCCATTCAGTGTTAGGTTTCTGTCAGTATTCTCCTAACATAGATGAAAACAAGAGCATATGGTATCTTAATACCATTTTTTACAAAAAATAAGGTAGTATAGAAATTAATTATAAATAACTTCTCTAATTGTCTTTGATCTTACTTGCACATCAGATGATTTACTGATTTAAAAAATAAATAAAAAAAAGTAACTGAAAATTCATTTGTTTTGATTGTATTATTTTGTCTTCGTTAAAAAATGACCAAATACAATCTCTAGTTGTATAACCTTCTCAAAACAGATGCATGTAGTGGAGGAAGGGCAATAGGGCTTGAGGAGCATAAAACCAACATACCTATAAAGCTGAGCAGGAATTGACTCTGGAATAACATCATCCTCACTGATTACCTTCTTCCCAATGGGAGCAAAACCACCAAAGAGGACCCAAAACTCACCTGAGTCAGACTCTGTGTCTAACTTACCATCATCTGAAAAGCGGAGTAGTTTTTATTAAGTTAAAAACTAAATGGAGTGCATCTGATGAACAGAAGTACTGAATAATGTAATAGGAAAATTTCCCTACCAACAATTGCAACATCACATTTCCCTTTATGATATTTTTCTTTAAGGAATTGTATAACTTCCAAAGATTTGGCTCTTTCCTGAATATTGGAATTTGCACCATTGAACTGGAATATCTTATTCTCAGTGTCGGCTATGAATACATCATCATGATTCAATGAAGACCTTGCAAAAGGGATCTATCAAAAAGAAAAAATGTTTAACTGCATGTTCTCCAGATTAATGAATTTAACAAAAATAGAACACTATACCTGTCTCAATCTAACAACTCTTTTCCCTTTGCATACATATAAACGTGTTTCAAACTCCTCTTCTTCAGGTTTTGTAAACCCAGATGCCACACCACCCGCTAATGGTATTATACATGGTTTAAAGTATGACAAAAACTTGTCAGATTCATGTCCTTGGATTTCCCTGTGATGCACTGCACGCCCTCCAAGAGCAGCATCTAGTTCAACGGTTTTAATGGCTGCAGTTCCAGCCTCATCCTAGAATTAAAATCAGTGTCAATCAAGACTATTATTCTGTCAAAAAGATATTCATTGGTTTATGTATTTCCAAACAGATGTAAACCATGTTCAAAATAACTCAAACATCTAAAATATATTAAAAGCAAGACAGTAAAAACACCTTGGAATAGTTAAATTTCAAAAAGAAAAAACTTGAAATAGTTTAATTTTAAAAAAACACATCTCTACAAGCTTCACCTTTTTACCAACCTCTTCATTTAAGGAGGGAGAACAAGTAATTTAAGATAAATTTCACATGATTCAGGATGGAGAGGGAGGAGGGTGAAAGTCCAAACTTACCTGACTTGTATCTTTTCCAATCCAGAAATGCAAATCATAAAAATAAGTGCCACTTTTGCCTTGAGTTGTCTGCATAGGCCCATAGAACAATTGCTCAAAATATAAATGAAAGAAAAAAGATAACAACCTATATTTCACACTTAATGAAGTTATGTGATTGTGCTGTTTTCCTTATACATCATGTATATTGTATCTAAACTAACCCTGTGGATTATCATCTACTTTAATCTTCAGAGAAATGAAGTGAGTAATTTACAGCATTGCACAAAGGGTTAAAAAAGATCAACTATCTCCAAAATTTCCAGCCTTGTCACCAAACTGCCACATCACATACACTTGCAAACATATCAATGTGTCCAAGGTAATATTGGATATAGTACACACCTGCAAGATGATATAAGAATCTCCCATGTAGAATTTCCCATGATCAGATTTGGGCAGAGGAACTGGCTGAAAATTCTCAATCCTCCATATTTCAGTTCCTCTACAGAATGTCAAGTTTCAAACTCTCAAAGCATATGGTATATTTCAATATGTAAAAAATAACATGAATGCAAGCCATAAAATTATTCATGTCTAAACCCAACAGTATTCAGAGTAAAAAGTTCACTACATGGATCCAGAGACTCTATAACCTTCTGATCTAATGTCTAATGTTATCCATGATTCTTATTGATAAAAGTTAATTTCAACAAATAGACCAAATGATAGTGAATCAGTCGTGTTGATAGCTTAATGGTTCAATTATTCTTTCTTATATTTTACTCCTCAACTTTACACAAGTAATAAAGAAATTCAATATATATATATATATATATATATATATATATATATATATATATATTCCATATTTTTTTATAAATCAAACCCTTTACTAAAAGGATACACTCTTTGACCAACTCCCTGAAATGCAGGATCCAAAACTTTCGCTGAGCTAGACATGGCTCAAGTTCCCTTCTAAAGTATCCTCTCTCTACAATGTGTGCAAATGTGAAGGAAATCCACTGCATGAAGAAACCGATGTTAACAAAAAAAAAAGAACAAGAAAACCATTCGTCACTATGCACATAAAGCAGTTGCATATTCCCTAAAAAGACACTATTGTGCATATGAGTGCATGATTAAAGCTTATGAGTATCAAATGACATGTAGAGAACATCAGGCATCAAAAGCCTTCACTTCCTTAAACATAAAATAGTTTTCTGTATCTTTCAACTATCAACCATAGCACGGGCTGAAAGATTTTCCAGTTTGTTCTGGGAGAATAAATCATAGAAAGATTTCTTCCCAAATTCCAAACATCCACTAAATGTGCCACCTTTCATATTCTCCAATACCCATAGGCTCTATGGAAGTTTCATGTCAGGCATTGACAAACATAAATTTAGGCTAGAGATTGGAACTTAAGGAGAAATTAGATGGATATCGGTTCAATATGTGGAAACACACACAAATCCATCCTGCTTCAAAAAGGAGAAAAAGGAACATATGTTGAGATCAACAACAGATCTACATTCAGGTTCAAACCAAACTTTGGGATTTTAAAACTAAGTAGTCCAACCAACTGAACTACAGACATATATTCAAATAAAAGTAAGCAGAGAGATGCTTGAATTAAAAATATATTAAAAATATATAGAACAGGACATAAATTTGAAGACATTGAGACCCAAAAGAACTCAAATCTGGTTTATTATTATGTCAGAAAACAAAAAAAAAATGTTATTAATGATAGAAGAAAAAAAGTATGCTTCACATAAGGTTGTGGTAAAGCATGTTTTTTAAAAAGTAGTAGAATTTAATTTCAGAAGTTGCCTAACTAAAACTGCTCTACAAGAAATATTTCAAATTTTCTAAAGAAACAACTTGTCCTTGTTATATGCATACATACATACTTTCAAACACATAAACACACACAGAAACATAAGCTAACCAAACTTAGATAGATTTATTTGGATTGGAGTCAACCTAGTTTCTTAGTTGACAAAAAACTGAATTCACTGTGCACGAGTGCTATAACAGAAGAAAGTTAAAAATTTTCAGGCTATCACAAGTGCAAAGTACCTTTCATAACAAGGTTTGGCCAATCATTCTATTCAGTAACATCATATGTCTTGTCAATATTCTCAAGCAATGTTTGAGATGGAAAAGGAAAAGTCATCTTTATCTTAAAAAAACTCATTCGTAACTGATTTAAGCATCCATGATTAGGCAGTTATAATCAACATATTTCATCAGCTTCAGCATTTCTCCACCATCACAAATCACAATTTGACAAATGATATCATCAATTACCAATAAAGGAACGGTATCGTTTTCTCTTATTTTTATCTTCTTTCTGCAACTTCTTCTCGTCAACCAATTAGCATTTGCAAATTAATATTTATACGCAAAATAACAGTGTCCCATAATTGCACTATTTTCACCACAGATTACTTCTTTGACCAATGAAGCAACAAGGTCCTCTTTACTAGAACAACCATCTATGACATTCCTGTCCCAGGCTTCCCAGTTCTCCAATTAGGCTGATACTGTAAACCAAGGGCAATAATACCACCTTTGAGCGCTATCGCTGCAAACTGCAAAGATTTCTACGAATAATTTCTCTTCTACAGCTTGCTCCACAATAAACCTCTCTCAAATAAAACCNTTCCAAAGATTTGGCTCTTTCCTGAATATTGGAATTTGCACCATTGAACTGGAATATCTTATTCTCAGTGTCGGCTATGAATACATCATCATGATTCAATGAAGACCTTGCAAAAGGGATCTATCAAAAAGAAAAAATGTTTAACTGCATGTTCTCCAGATTAATGAATTTAACAAAAATAGTACACTATACCTGTCTCAATCTAACAACTCTTTTCCCTTTGCATACATATAAACGTGTTTCAAACTCCTCTTCTTCAGGTTTTGTAAACCCAGATGCCACACCACCCGCTAATGGTATTATACATGGTTTAAAGTATGACAAAAACTTGTCAGATTCATGTCCTTGGATTTCCCTGTGTTGCACTGCACGCCCTCCAAGAGCAGCATCTAGTTCAACGGTTTTAATGGCTGCAGTTCCAGCCTCATCCTAGAATTAAAATCAGTGTCAATCAAGACTATTATTCTGTCAAAAAGATATTCATTGGTTTATGTATTTCCAAACAGATGTAAACCATGTTCAAAATAACTCAAACATCTAAAATATATTAAAAGCAAGACAGTAAAAACACCTTGGAATAGTTAAATTTCAAAAAGAAAAAACTTGAAATAGTTTAATTTTAAAAAAACACATCTCTACAAGCTTCACCTTTTTACCAACCTCTTCATTTAAGGAGGGAGAACAAGTAATTTAAGATAAATTTCACATGATTCAGGATGGAGAGGGAGGAGGGTGAAAGTCCAAACTTACCTGACTTGTATCTTTTCCAATCCAGAAATGCAAATCATAAAAATAAGTGCCACTTTTGCCTTGAGTTGTCTGCATAGGCCCATAGAACAATTGCTCAAAATATAAATGAAAGAAAAAAGATAACAACCTATATTTCACACTTAATGAAGTTATGTGATTGTGCTGTTTTCCTTATACATCATGTATATTGTATCTAAACTAACCCTGTGGATTATCATCTACTTTAATCTTCAGAGAAATGAAGTGAGTAATTTACAGCATTGCACAAAGGGTTAAAAAAGATCAACTATCTCCAAAATTTCCAGCCTTGTCACCAAACTGCCACATCACATACACTTGCAAACATATCAATGTGTCCAAGGTAATATTGGATATAGTACACACCTGCAAGATGATATAAGAATCTCCCATGTAGAATTTCCCATGATCAGATTTGGGCAGAGGAACTGGCTGAAAATTCTCAATCCTCCATATTTCAGTTCCTCTACAGAATGTCAAGTTTCAAACTCTCAAAGCATATGGTATATTTCAATATGTAAAAAATAACATGAATGCAAGCCATAAAATTATTCATGTCTAAACCCAACAGTATTCAGAGTAAAAAGTTCACGACATGGATCCAGAGACTCTATAACCTTCTGATCTAATGTCTAATGTTATCCATGATTCTTATTGATAAAAGTTAATTTCAACAAATAGACCAAATGATAGTGAATCAGTCGTGTTGATAGCTTAATGGTTCAATTATTCTTTCTTATATTTTACTCCTCAACTTTACACAAGTAATAAAGAAATTCAATATATATATTCCATATTTTTTTATAAATCAAACCCTTTACTAAAAGGATACACTCTTTGACCAACTCCCTGAAATGCAGGATCCAAAACTTTCGCTGAGCTAGACATGGCTCAAGTTCCCTTCTAAAGTATCCTCTCTCTACAATGTGTGCAAATGTGAAGGAAATCCACTGCATGAAGAAACCGATGTTAACAAAAAAAAAAGAACAAGAAAACCATTCGTCACTATGCACATAAAGCAGTTGCATATTCCCTAAAAAGACACTATTGTGCATATGAGTGCATGATTAAAGCTTATGAGTATCAAATGACATGTAGAGAACATCAGGCATCAAAAGCCTTCACTTCCTTAAACATAAAATAGTTTTCTGTATCTTTCAACTATCAACCATAGCACGGGCTGAAAGATTTTCCAGTTTGTTCTGGGAGAATAAATCATAGAAAGATTTCTTCCCAAATTCCAAACATCCACTAAATGTGCCACCTTTCATATTCTCCAATACCCATAGGCTCTATGGAAGTTTCATGTCAGGCATTGACAAACATAAATTTAGGCTAGAGATTGGAACTTAAGGAGAAATTAGATGGATATCGGTTCAATATGTGGAAACACACACAAATCCATCCTGCTTCAAAAAGGAGAAAAAGGAACATATGTTGAGATCAACAACAGATCTACATTCAGGTTCAAACCAAACTTTGGGATTTTAAAACTAAGTAGTCCAACCAACTGAACTACAGACATATATTCAAATAAAAGTAAGCAGAGAGATGCTTGAATTAAAAATATATTAAAAATATATAGAACAGGACATAAATTTGAAGACATTGAGACCCAAAAGAACTCAAATCTGGTTTATTATTATGTCAGAAAACAAAAAAAAAATGTTATTAATGATAGAAGAAAAAAAGTATGCTTCACATAAGGTTGTGGTAAAGCATGTTTTTTAAAAAGTAGTAGAATTTAATTTCAGAAGTTGCCTAACTAAAACTGCTCTACAAGAAATATTTCAAATTTTCTAAAGAAACAACTTGTCCTTGTTATATGCATACATACATACTTTCAAACACATAAACACACACAGAAACATAAGCTAACCAAACTTAGATAGATTTATTTGGATTGGAGTCAACCTAGTTTCTTAGTTGACAAAAAACTGAATTCACTGTGCACGAGTGCTATAACAGAAGAAAGTTAAAAATTTTCAGGCTATCACAAGTGCAAAGTACCTTTCATAACAAGGTTTGGCCAATCATTCTATTCAGTAACATCATATGTCTTGTCAATATTCTCAAGCAATGTTTGAGATGGAAAAGGAAAAGTCATCTTTATCTTAAAAAAACTCATTCGTAACTGATTTAAGCATCCATGATTAGGCAGTTAAAATCAACATATTTCATCAGCTTCAGCATTTCTCCACCATCACAAATCACAATTTGACAAATGATATCATCAATTACCAATAAAGGAACGGTATCGTTTTCTCTTATTTTTATCTTCTTTCTGCAACTTCTTCTCGTCAACCAATTAGCATTTGCAAATTAATATTTATACGCAAAATAACAGTGTCCCATAATTGCACTATTTTCACAACAGATTACTTCTTTGACCAATGAAGCAACAAGGTCCTCTTTACTAGAACAACCATCTATGACATTCCTGTCCCAGGCTTCCCAGTTCTCCAATTAGGCTGATACTGTAAACCAAGGGCAATAATACCACCTTTGAGCGCTATCGCTGCAAACTGCAAAGATTTCTACGAATAATTTCTCTTCTACAGCTTGCTCCACAATAAACCTCTCTCAAATAAAACCAAATCAACAGTAGCCAACTCGGGAAAGCATTTCATTTTTTTACCAAAACCAGAGAACCTATGTAAGATTACACTCACAGCTATGTAATTATAAACCCGTGGAATTTTGAGCACTGAGTTGATAGGTCTTAAAGGATCAAACACCAATTTAAAAAGAAAAAAAAAACGAACAAATTTTAAACTTAGAAACTCCAATTACGTTAGACTTGAATACTAAGATCCACCAGCACCGGTCATCCAATATTCACTTCATTTTTTTCATTTCTCCTCTCAAATTAAAAGCAAACAGACAAAAAAAAAGCGAATTTTCCAAAGCTTCGAAACACGACCAAAATCCAAAATCACAACAGAAAAGAGCGAATCGCCTAAAAGAGAAAGTACAATAACGACGAAAATTCAAAATACCGATCCAAAACCAAAAGAAAAAGCACAAAACAACGAAGAGAAATACACACAGATCACCGCACACGAAACTCGACAAAATTAGAAAACAAGGAGAGCAAACAAAGATTTAGATAACACAACAACGGCGACGAAGAAATAGAAAAATCAGCGTTAAAGGTGGTGTAAGAGAACATAGAAAATTTGAATTGAGCGACGCCAAATTCAAGTGACGTATATACCTGAGATCTCAACGGCGATGATGAGGTGGAGAGAGACAGAGTAATATAGTTGGAAAAGAAGGTGAATTATTGCTGCTTCTGAGCGCGGTCTTTCTCTTTCTAACTTTTGAGGCTTTTGAGATTTGCAATTCAGAGAGAAAGAGAAGGAGTTGCAGGGAAAGAAGAAAAGAAAAAAGTGCGTCGTGTGTGGATGAATTATGACAACGATGATGACGGAAAAAGGGCGGTGAGATGAACAGAATAGGAAGGAAAGAAAATAAATAAATAAAACAATAAGAGAGAGAGAAAACGAAAGAGAAAGAGAAGGAGAAGGGTTATTGTTATCTTTGTTGTTATTTGTTAAGACAAAAATTAAGGCCATGGTACGTTTACAGTGCCACCGTCCATGTTTCTTGCCTTTTTCTCTTTGCTTTTCTGTAAGAAATTAGTTAATTAATTTTTGTGTGTTTTCTATCATTTCCGTTACTACCAAGATTCGCTCATTCCATTGCGCCTGAATTTATTGTAATGGATAAATCAAAACGTGCACTCTAAATATAGTGCTGGGAAGATAAATAAAGGAAAAATAATGAAACAACATAAACCAATTGATACAGGAAAGATGAAATTGATTACAAAATTTATTAATTTTGACGTGTCCTTTTCTCTTGCATCAAAAGTGATTATTTCTAATCAATTTGAATAAATAATAAAGGATTTAATTTAGTGAAGCATATATAATTAAGTAGAATAAATAAAATAAAGAGAAGAGGAAACTGAATGCAATTTCGTGGTTTTTGCAGTGAGAAGTTACATCAGAGGTTCAGTATGTTTGTGACTTATAAAGCATATCCAATTCGCAAATAGACACTGGGAATTCTGAAAGCCGAAATGGTCCAACCTTATGCGATTGGGACTCTTGTGTATAATGTTTACCTTTTTTTTAATGTGATTATTATTTTATGTAATAGATTGTTTATTGGTGTATCTTTCTTTAGGAAGGAAAGTTCGTTTAAAATAATTTTCTGGTCTTTTATTTTATTGTTGTCTTTTTTTTGTTAATGGTTTTTAATCTATCAAAGTTAGATACTATAAGTGTTTTCATACAAAAGGATTCAATCGGGTAAATAATTAATGATATAATAAATGTGTAATAAAAACTCCAATAATCTATATTTTAATTATTTATAGTTTTCTTTATGAATTTTTTATTAAAGTCGGCTTAATCATAACTAAATTCCATTTAAACCTTATTGCTTGACGTGTTTATATTAATTAGATGATTAGTTGATTCTAATAATGATTTATCAGTTTCATCTATATTTGGATGATCGGTCATATTATTCAATCAATATGTTCCATTTAATACATAGAGTACATAGATCCTTCAAGTCTTAAGCTTGAGTAAAGACTACAAGCAAAAAGGATTTACATATGCTCGCCTTATATTTGAAAATATAATCGTGAACCTCCTTACTTCTTATAAGCTTGCCCTTCAAAATATTATTGTTGAAGATGGGCATGTGAGTTGCCTAGTGAACTGTGTCAATATCTTGCAGATCGTGACGTCAACACTGACACAGATTGTGAAATGTCGTATTGAATGGTGGAAGATTTTATGATCGTGAGGATGTCACACATTCCTTAAGTTTTCTATAAGGAAAATAATTTTTTAACAACTTTTTCGACAACTTATTTACAACAGCCTGTATGGTAGTTTGTGATTGGTCCGTTTCAAATATACAGATCAATAATATAATTGTTAACATATCATAGTCCTTTCGATAAATAGAGATAAAGTAGTCTTATCATTTTTATCACTTTGGTTTCCATATGATCTAAAAAAAGGAAAAGACAACATTGGAGAGTAGGAGACAAAAAATTATTTTAAATAAACGGTTACACTTAAAAATGTATAATGATATGTAACGAACCAATTTAAATTTATTAAAATTTTATATTAGATTAACTAAAATTGACTAAAAATATTCAATTTAATTTAAACTACAATTTTTTAATTTAATCTCATTCATTTTTTCAGGTTTTTCCAACTTAGACATGTATCACTTTATTAGCTTTCTTCATAAGAGCGTTTTATTGTTCGGACATAAATAAAAATAAATGGCTTTAATATGTTATTATGTTCAAATCCTTTAATATACTTTTTTTATTCTTTTCTCTAAATAGATTTTCTATCTTTTTTATTTTTTGTAATATAAAAATTATATTATGTTCATTCTGACATTGTGATTAAATAAGAGATTTTACCATTTTTAATATATTTACATATTTTTAATATAATGTGCTATGTATTGCCAAAGAAGCTTTTGACTCCTATTTGTATAGATTTTAATCAATTAGTGATAGAAAACGACAGCTTCAACATTTGGTTGATAAACAAGACACGTAAGTTTTGAAAGAAACTATGAGGTGTGTCTCTGAATATAAACTTAGTTGTATTTAGGACTTGACCATAATTTTTTTATTCAAGAAAAGAGGTCGACGAAAATAACAATGAAGAAAAAAAAGGTAGGAGTGGGCACCACGAAAAATTAAAAATGAATCAAAGACAGTGTGCCTATTTCTTTCAAGATAATCAAATTTATATGTCAATTAAGGCGTATTTGATTGACTAAAGACTGCTTAGTTAAATGGTCAATGTATTAAATTCTGAACAATTGTTAATAGCACTGAACCAAACCACATCCTGTCAAATGTGTTCAATTAGTCATCAAATTGAAAGAGTAGCATAAGGCACCGAAAGTTTAAAATTAAGAAAAGCCTAGTAAGGAACTCATTATTTTATATATTGAAAAATACAATTGGTAACTTTTATGTGTTATATTATCATTAAGCAAATTATATTTGGTTTAACTAATAACATTTTTTAAAAATTTCAACAACTTACGATTTTATATTTTTTAATTTGGACTTATTATTGCATATAATATTTATATTTTTACCAGAAGATAGAGTTTTGTTTTATTTTTTTTAATGTGAACAAGTTAGTTTTTTTTTTTTTATTTTGTGAATATTTTGAGGATTGAATACTCAGAAGAGGTTTGTGTTAAAAAAAATTATTCAATCTTCAGGTTAATAAACAAATGCACTAAACTAATATAAAGAATAATTTAATATTGAGTAAATGTGTATACAAGGGTTTTTTATCTTAAATAATAAAATTGAGGAAGGTAAATTGTAAATTTATCTTTAATCTAAAATTATGTTAGGTTATTAGACTCCATGTGGAGTATATGTTCAAATAATGTGGATCATCATGTCTCATTTTATTTAAGTGGAGAGGAGTCATATTAGTAGATAACATAAGAGTTATTTGAAAAGAAAGAAAAGCCAAGAAAAAGAAAGGAAGAAAGAAAGTTTTTCCCGCATAACACAAGTCTACATTGGTGTTTTCGTCATTATTGAAGTCGTTCACCGTTGGATTTGGATGATTTTTGGACAATGGGTTTCAAACTTATAGTTCTTTATTTTGATCATTCAAATCGTCAATCAGAGGTCTAGTTTGGGAGAAAATAACTTCACATCAACAACTTTATCTTGGAGAATTTTCATCTGCTTTGTTCTCATTTGTAAGCATTTGTGCTTAGTTAGTTTGGTTATTTGAAAACACCATTTGGTGTTTTTATTAAATACTCTTTTATACCCTATTATTGATCATACTGAATTTTTCTTTGGTCTGAACAATTCATGGTTTTTACCCTTACTTTGAGGGGTTTTCACGTTAAAAATCATTGGTGTCTCTTTGTGCTTTGAATGCTGTTTTTTCTCTATTTGTTTTTTGTGCTCCTTGTAGATTCTCACAATAATGGATATTGAATTTTTGTTGTGTTATTACTCTTTGTTAAGTTGTTATAATTTTTCGGTCATTTTTCCCATCAAAGTGGCATCAACGCTCTTTGGTTCAGAGATTGTTCAACTTGTGTGAATGATGGAGGCACATACTATAATGATTTCTTTGAATGGATAAAATTATGACCTATGGAAGGGCAAGATGAAGGACTTGTTATTTGTGAAAAATTTTGCATCTTCTTGTTTTTGCTTCCAATAAACCGAAATCCAAGTCAGATGAAGAATGAGATTTTGACCATCAACAGGTATGTGGATTTATCAGGCAGTTTGTTGATGATAATGTTTATAATTTTGTTGCTAATGAGACACATGTGAGAAGCCTATGTGATAAGCTTGAGTCCTTGTATGCTTCTAAGTCAATGACTAATAAATTGTACTTGCTGAAAATTTTTGTAGAGTTGAAGTACAAGGAAGGAACTCCAATTTCAAATCACTTGAGTGAATTTCAAGGACGTTATGATCAATTAGTAGGAGTAGGTATAAAATTTGATAATGATCTATTGGAACTATTCCTATTACACTCTTTACCGGATTCATGCGAGACATTTCGGGTTTTGATGATAAGTGCTACCCCTAATGGTAATATTTCTTTGCAAATGACAAAGATTGGTGCGCTTAGTGAGGAGATGAGAAGGAAGAGACAGAGAACTTCATCTCATTTAGGAGTACTTGTTACAGAGAATAGGGGAAGAAGCCAAAAGAAAGAATAAAATAGTGGTAGAAAAAAAAGTGGGAGCATGTTGAGGTTTCAGTACAAGAATGTGGAGTGCCACTATTGTCACAAAACAAGGCATATAAAGAATAAATTTTTTTTGTGGAAAAAAGAAAGCAATGACAAAAAGGGTAAACAAAGAGAAAGAGATCACGATGATGGTAAGCATGTTACTACTACTACATGTGGTGGGTGACCTTGTTTGTCTTCGTGATTATGACACTATTAATCTTGTATCCAATAAGAGAATGTGGATAATTGATAATGATGCTACACTACATGTTACATCTAGGAAGGAGGTCTTCACATCTTATACACCTGGTTATTTTGGAGTATTGAAGATGGGTAATGATGAGGTGTCTAAGGTTATTGGTGTTGGTGATGTTCACTTGCAAACCAACATGGGAATGCAGTTGTTGCTTAGAGGAATTAAACATGCACTAAATGTTTGCTTTAACTTGATTTTTGTACAAGTACTTGATGATGGTGGATATGATAACCACTTTGGTTCCGAAAAGTGGAAGCTTACCAAAGGTAACTTGATTGTGGACAAAAGGGAGAAAAACTCTAAGCTTTACTAGACAAAAGCTTTGGTTGCTAAAGACAGTGTGAATGTCGTGTATATGGAGTCATCTTTGTGGCACCGAAGATTTGGTCATATGAGTTAAAAGGAACTTAATTGCTTAGCTAAAAAGGATGCTCTCTCAAGATTGAAGAGTGCAGAGTTGGAGAAATATTCTCATT